CATATTTTTACCTTCACTTCAGTTCTGATACTATTTTTTTATTTGCATATTATTCTTCAACCCTATTTTTGTGGTTATGGGAGTATCTTAAAATGTACCTGGGATTTTATTTATTTATTTATTTAGAGACAGGTTCTCACTCTATTGCCCAGGCTGGAGTGCAGTGGCATAATCATGGTTCACTTGCAGCCTCAACCTCCTGGGCTCAAGCAATCCTTCCTTCTTGGCCTCCCAAATTTGGATATTACAGGTGTAAGCCACTGTACCCAGCCTGGCAATTTGTCTTAATCAGGTATGGTTGTAATTGCCCAGGTGGGTCTTCTTGCCCACCGCCCAGAAAAGCCAAGGTACTGAGAACAGCAAGTGTTCACAGCAAGAAAAGATTTAATTATTGCAGGGTCAGCTAAATGGCATGATGAGAGATAATTCTCAAATCTGCCTCCCTGAGAATTCGGGGACAAGGGTTTTTCAAGGCTAGTTTAGCAAGCAAGGGGACTAGGAAATGGGGAATAATGGTTGGTTGGGTTGGAGATGAAATCATAGGGGGTCAACACTGTCTTGTGCTGAGTTAGTTCCAGGGTGTGGGTTACTGGTCCAGGTGGTGGCAGTTGGTTCATACAGAATGCAAGATCTGAAAAATATCTCAAATGCCAGTCTTTAGTTTTACAATAGCAATGTTCTCCAGAGGGGCAATTGGTAAAGTTATTAATTTTGTGGCTATATGATTCCTGAGTAGTAAGTAGTTTTTAAAAAGCAAGTTATAAAACAATGACTGGTTAGAGTTTATACCTACATCTTAGCAGAATTCAGGCCCCTAACATAATTGTAACCTTGTGGACTTTCATTCGTTTTACAAAGGTGATTTTGGTCCCCAAGTAAGGAGGGGTTTAGCTTCAGAAAGGATCTGCTTTCATCTTTGTTTTAAATTATAAACAAAATTCCTCCCATAGTTAGCTTAGAATGAACAGAGACAGTTAGCTCGTGAGGTTAGAAGCAAGATGGAGTCAGTTATGTTAGATTTCTCTTACTGTCACAATTTTGCAAAGGCAGTTTCATGAAGAGTTTATTACTTACAGGTTCCAAGAGGAGGGGCATCTCATGTTATGTCAGGCCTCAAGAGAAGCACCAGTCAGGAGGCAGAAAGAAGGAGGGAAATGCCTGGTACTTTTCTGTGGAGAGAAAGGGTAAGGCAGGGAAGGCAAGTTTGAGCAAGCTTAGAATGGGATAGTTTAAATAATGTGGGCAGGCTCTAGCCATAGGGGTTGTCTCTACTTGGCCTTGGGGTGATTTAGGCAGGGAAAATACTGGCTTGGTGTATGAGAGCAAGATAAAGGTGGTGGTTGCGGATTTGGGCTTTGGATTGGTGGGGCTGTAAACAAAAGGTGTGCTCACAGGCAAGCTAACTGCCATCTCTAAGAATGGCCAACCCCTGGAGGGGCAGTCTCTCCCCAGGTCCACACAGCCCCCACAATGTCAAAACATCATGAAATACAGAAAAAAAGAACATGATTAACACAGGGGGATCTTCTCTGAAATCTTCCAAGCAAATCTTTAAAATAAGTTTGGTGATATAATTCTTTTTATCTAGTGATAAAATATATGCTTTATAAGAAAAAAAGTTGTAAAATCAATCATGAAAATTGCTACCATTGATGAATACTACTCTGCCTAGCAATTGATGAAACACTACATATGTGACCTCAATTGAAGTATTAAACTATAAAAGAAAGCTAAATAAAAAAGAAAAGCTTACATTACTTCGTGCCCTTATTTATTAGTTGTTTGCAGGAGGCAGATCCAGGAGTCTTGGAAAGGGGTAAATCAGCATTTTATTCTTTCTAGACAGAGCTGAGTCAGCCTCTCAGCACTCACGTGTGGCGTTGTGAGGCTGCTCGCTTAGTTGCATAACCTGCCATGTTGTGCAGTTAATTGGCCCATTTGAATGAGTTCTGGCATTGTTCGGCAGCTCAGCTAAGCGACTCTAACTGAAAAGCCTTCCGTACATGTCCTCAGTTTGTGGGAAAGCATTCTTCAGTTGGCAGTATGCAAGCAGTTACTACCTGGCATATGTACCACCACTTCCCAGACCATATCGATGGCAGGTATCGTTTTGTCTGAGCAAGGATGCAACCTCAGAAACTCTCTCAGCACAGTGTTCTGGGAAATTCACACCTAAGTTTCATAGGTTGGCATAATAGATGAAACATATTTATTTGCCATCTGATATGGTTTGGCTGTCTCCCCACCCAAATCTCATCTTGAATTGTAGCTCCCATAATTCTCATGTGTCGTGAGAGGGACCTGGTGGGAGGTAATTGAATCACATTGACAGGTCTTTCCCGTGTTGTTCTCATAGTGAATAAGTCTCACCAGAGCTGATGGTTTTATAAAGGGGGATTCCCCTGCACACGCTCTGCTGCCTGCTGCCATGTATGACGTGTCCTTGCTCCTCCTTTGCCTTCCACCATGCTTGTGAGGCCTCCCCAGCCATGTGGAACTGTGAGTCTATTACACCTCTTTTTTCTTTATCAATTACTCAGTTTCGGGTATGTCTTTATTAGCAGCATGAGAACAAACTAATACACCACCTTTATAAGGAAGAATGAAGAATCTATCTTCATACATAATTACAACTACTTTTTAGAGTGTTGTAGATCGAAAGATAATCAGTCACTGTTCACTGATTAAAGAAAATCAGACATAATTTGATGTTTACATGTTTATCGTACACTCCTGCTGATGAACTCAGGCCTTTTCCCAGTCAGCTTCAGATGGCATCTCTTGCTTTGGACAGCACAACATCATCTCCTAGTGCCACTTTCCTCTGATACCAGGATCACTCATTCCCATGGGGATCCAATTCCGTAGGTGTGGCGTGGTTTGGTTGGAACTGCTGTTGCCAACCTTCACCTCCCTGCCTTCCTCCAACCTCACCACCGCTACCCCAAATTGTACAGGAGTAGGCAGCTAGATAACAGTATCGCTCCATCCATAGTGACTGCTTCTAGGCTGAGCCAGTCCCAGCTCTTCCTGGAACTCCTCTGCTGGAGCATCAGGGGAGACCATTTCTGCTGGAGATGCTAGGCTAGGAGGGTGATAGAGTTTGGCTCTGTGTCCCCACTCAAATGTCATGTTGAATTGTAATCCCTAATGTTGGTGGCGGGGCCTGATGGGAGGTGTTTAGATCGTGGGGGTGGTTTCTGATGGTTCAGTACCATCCCGCTAGTGCTGCCTCGTGACAGAGTTCTCCTGAAATCTAGTTGTGTGAAAGTGTGTAGCAACTCCCCCTCAGCCTTCCTCCTGCCCTGGGCACATGAAGACCATGCCTGATTTCCCTTCCCCTTATGCCATAAGTTTCCTAAGGCCTCCCCAGAAGCAGAAGTCTGTACATTCTGCAGAACTGTGAGCTAATTAAACCTCTTTTCTTTATAAATTACCCAGTCTCAGGTATGTCTTTATAGCAGTGTAACAACAGACTAATACAGAGGGTATAAGCAAAGGGCTGGTGGTGGCCACCTTTCCCGTCATGTGAAAGACTGCAGGCATAATTATGTGAGCATGGTCAAGAGACATACGGCGAGAGACAGCGACAGTGATAGGGACAGAGCCTGAGCCCTTGGATTCAGCTGTTCCTGAAATCAGAATGAACTTCCCAGTCCCAAGAGGCAATAACGTTCCTTGTGTGTCCCCTTAGGCTAGTTCAGAAATTGGATTTCTAAATTTGCAGCTGTCAGAATTTTAATTAATACAAAGACATGTTAAAAAATCAAAGGGATATTTTTACCATCTTTATAGTGCTATTTTGTGGTGTTCTGACTGTTGCACATGTGCTTGTTATTGAAGAGATCCGTGCTCTATATAAAAGTTAACATTTACTGAGTGCTTACCACCGCTAGGCATTATTCTAAGTACTTTGAATAAATTAGTTCAGTGCATAAATTAGTTCTCATAAAATCATTTGCAGTGGGTATTACTAGCACTGCTATACAGATGCAGAAACTGAGACTGTAAACAGTAAAGAAACTTGTCCAAGGTCACAAAGCCTGTAAGTGGCTGGGATCTGACCCTAGGCAGACTGGCTTGAGTCTGTGCTCTTAGCCACTAAGCTAACACTTACAACTTGCCTTTGTCCTAGTTTCAGCTTTCATAATTATATCTAGCAATGAAAGAGAACAAGGCACAGTATCCCTTTCCCTTTCCTTGCCTTGAATGCCTACCTGGCCTCTAGCTGCTGTTCTAATCTTCCAAGATGAGAAACAGGCCTAGTTATAATTTACAGAGAATTTGAGAATCACCATCCTCTAGACTTGGGAACATGAAACACTGTCCATAAGCCTCACCTAAAACGGCACAATACTCCTCCCTAAAAATGCCCATCTTTTCGTAAGTCTACCTAACGATGTAATTCAACCAGTGATAACCCCAAAATATACAGGTGAACTGCAGTATATAACACAGAATAAATATATCTGAGAAAGTCAGATGTTGTGAGATGAGAAAGGGTATTCCTGCTGCTCAGGGATTAGAGCTGAAAGCAGGAAAATATGCTCTACTTAACTGGGTAAAGTCACAGCATTTACATTTCTTGTTGATAGCTAGTGAAGATTCTCCTTGAAGCTCAAGTTCTCGCTGCCCTCTGTCCCAGTCCCCTGTAGAATTGTCAAATCCCGCTTTTGCACTGAGTTACTTGATTACCTGCTGAAATCCTGAAACTGCCACAGCTGTTGCCATTTTAGCTCCTTGAATTTATGAGCACCAATGCATCTCCCCTGCATCTGCTTTGGCTGTTGCTTTTGAAAGGAGTGATCACACAAGGAGGGGGAGAGGAAGAGGCCCAGATAGTTCTGCGGCACTGAAGGCAGTTAAGAAAAGAAGCAACTCTTGACTTTGCGATTAGAATAGTAGCAACTGAGAACATTAAATGTGTTTATCTTTCTTCTGAGGAATGCCAAGTATTTTTAAAACGAGAATCCTGACTCATCGTGCAGAAGCACAAGGACACGCACTAAAAATAGTGGCATGGTTTCTAACATCAAGATGCTCCCAGCGGGTAACAAGAGGTTTGCTTCTTAAATAGACAAGTAACCTACGGAGAGAAGATGAGGATCTTCTCTCTAAAGGACTCTGTCAGCTCTGTGGGATCTTCCTTTCAGATGACTGATAGGTAACAGCAGGGTGGAGGGCGGGAAGGGGAGCCCTATGGATATGGAGGTGGTACTGTTTCCATAAGGATTTCTCTTCTTTCCTTAAGGTAATCGACATGCATTCTGGCTTCCTCAAGGTCCTAGATTAAAGTGGCTTTAAGCCAAGGAGTAAGCCAGTCAGACAGCCTTTACACATCCTCAATTCTATATGGGCTTTGATCTGGGACCAACTATTCTCTATGATCAATCTGTGGCATGCCATGGCCTCAGAAAAAGGCTGATTGTTGTGTGCTACCTAAGGAGAGTAAGACGCTTCTGGACAGTCAGATATTTGGGACCTTGATATTTTCCACAGTTGGGTCCACTGGCTGTTTATGCAGTGGTGACCAGACTCACGGACTGTAGCTTCTCAGAGTGAAACAGAGCGTCTCTCTGGGTGCCTGCACCACCAAAGTCCAGACCATCTCTCCATTTCCATGCACAATGGAGCCTCCAGAAAGCAGCACAAAATCAATCCCGGTCAACTCCAAGTGAGTCTATAAGCCTTATTAAAATAAAGCTGATTTAACAAATAATTGCTTAACACTTGGAATCACTAAGTGCTATGCTTTAATGTGTTTGTAAAAAAATCTCACCATATGATAATAAAAGCAGAAGCAACATGAATTTTGACACGCATTTGTCAAATCTTGAGGAACATTAACTTTCTGAGCAGAGAAGACCTCTTTAGACACCTGAAATGGAAACTGGATAAAGTCCTTTAGACTTCTGAAAAGCTACATGCTTGAACACAGCTCCTGCCCTATAGTTTCAAATACAGGCTTACGACTTTTGCCCCTGAATAGGATGTCAGGCAGCAGACTGATGTTCCCACCAAAAATAACTAGAAAGGCCACATAAAATAAAATGAAATCGAAAACTGTTAAAAGACCTAAGAGAACCGCTGATGCAAAGGTGGCTTTCAAGGCCACAGTTTGAAGAGGGCAGAATCACAGAGAGGTGAGCTGTTGATCTGCAACTTCTTTTACCCTGGGACATTTGCAGATTCTAGGTGTAGAGTAAGAATCCGCTACTGGAAGCAGAGAAATCATCAGAGCTCTAGACAGCCTTGGAGGGTTCAAAAGGCAAGGATGAACATTTAAGAGGCCTAGATCCTGGTGAGGGGCAGAAAACTGACCCTGGTTTTCTCTCCAAGAGGTTAACAGAGCAAAAAGCTAAGTGGAAAGACTGAAAAGAGAGTGACGTTTCTGGCAGGGTCTCCATGCTTAGGGAACAAGAATTATGGTTCAGGACCCACAAGGAGAAGGACCCTGGTGAATAAACCAGGGTCTTGGCTGAGGTAGGATCCTAAACTTCACTCAGTTCAGTGAAAGTTGATTATCCCTTCTCAGCTAGCCTAGCAAAGGAAGGTGTGACTCCCCTTTGGTGAAGAATCTGGAACCTCCACACTTTCCCTTTTGATGGATAATGTGCAACATTCAATCAAAACTTTTGGGGGACCTAGCAGCATGCCTGGTAATGGCAGCAATGACAGCTTTCTAATATTTAATTCGATATTCAGTGCGTATCTAATTCATACTACGTGGGCTTCCCGGAAGCATGGTTACCACAGGCAGTCTGGGAAACAGTGGCAAGGCATGTGAGTCTGTCTGTGTGTGTAACACTGGCTTCCATATAGGAGCTGCTCATTAAATCAACATGGCCACAATTCACAGGGATAAGCTGCAAGCCAATCATTTGTCAAAGCTAATTTTCATTCGGTTTCAGACCAAGGAGTGAGGAAGGCTTTTTTAAACTGTGAAAATCTCACAAAACCAAAAAGAACAACAAAAAAGAAGAACAAAAAAGCCTTCTCTCACTCTCCAAATACAGGTCAGGTATTTCTTCTGTGTACTCCGTAGCATGGTGCCTCATTTTATTCTTCCCAAGCTGCAAATTTAATCTAGGGCCGATTATAACTACCTTAGTCACGCAAGTCTCCTCCAGTGGCTGGTGTAGTGCCTGGGGCACAATGGGGGCCTGATAAATATTTTTTGATAGAATGAATGAAGGAAATGAATAAAAGCAAACCAAATGTCAAACTTACTTTGGGAAAACTGGTCACAATACCATTGTGATCAGCGCTTGGGTACACAAAAGCCCAATGTGGACTATGGCAGAAAGTCTCTTATCTGATGTAGTTAGAAGGGTAGTTATTCAGGCCAGGATCAGTGGCTCACACCTGTAATCCTAGCACACTGGGACGCTGAGAGGAGGATCCCTTGCGACCAGCAGTTCAAGACGAGCCTGAACAACAAAGTGAGACCCCCATCTCTTAAAAAAAAAAAAAAAAAAAAAAAAAAATTAGCTGGGTATGGTGGTGTGCACTCACAGACCTAGGTATTCAGGGGGCTGAGGTGGGAGAATCATGTAAGCTTAGGAGTTTGAGGCTGCAGTGAGCCATGATCGTCCCACTGTACTGTAGCCTGGGTAACAGAGGAAGACCCTGTCTCAGAAAAAAAAAAAAAAGAAGGAAAGAAAGGTAGTTATTCCATTCATAGAAAATAATTTATAGCATGGAACTTATTAAAAATACATACTTATGTTGCATTTACCCTTAACACCTCATTTTAACTTAAACACAAATGCACATTTGTGTACTAATATCTTGACAGTGTGCCAAAGCCTTCTCAGTATAGGTCTGTTTACAAAGGAGCCAAGTGATCCTTCTTGATGATCTTTCTTGAATGAACCACATCCTCAATGAATCATTTCTGATTTAAGCTTTTTAAAAGTGGAGTGACAACCAAAGGGCACAAGGGACAATCTGAGCAAAAACTTCACAAAGCCCATACACTTCCCAACATTTTCCAGTTTTCTTTCCCATAGTGGAAACCTTTTTTTAAAAACCAACTTACTTAAAGCCCTCTCAAAATCTTCAGCTTAATTTTCATAAGCAAAACAACTCTTTCTCATGTTTATAAGATTATGTGACATTTAATTACCTAATATTAACAGTATGACTGACATAGTAAGTTTGGGAGCAACTATACCTGAATCTTGGTAAGCATACAACTCAACTGGCAGGAGCAGAAGTATGCAGGTTAGGAGAAGGTAGCAAATTACCAGTTGGGAGCATGGGCATGCCATGGGCATTCATCAGTATGCTTCATAGAAAAAATGGGTAACAGCAGTCAATCCCATGAGAAGGCAAAGTGAGGTCACATAAGAGAGCTTATAGAGAAAGTGTCATTCAGGACAAGGAGCAGCTCCCATTAGCAAAGGGTAAGTATTCCAGAGCAGTTAAATAAACAGTAGTTTAACTATTAAGTTAAACTGCCCTAATATATTAACATTTATAATAAAGAATGGATAATATAATACGTACATCACCATTACATGTACATATATAGTAATATATATACAAATATTTAATTTCTTTTAAATTAATATATTTAACATAAATTATATTTATACCATGTTCAAACAGTCTTTTTGAAATATTTGAAGTTATCCTTTGCTATATTTTATCATCAATTTAGAATGAAAAAAGGGGGTTTGAAAGATAGCCACTACTGTTTGAATTATCATAAACTCGAAATTAATGGATTACAAATTGCATGTGTAATAGATTGTATAGCAGGCCACTTTTAGACAGCAGGCTCCTAGAGAATAGAGCTAGAACTCAATGAATATGCTGTACACAAGACGCTACCAACATTAGTTCTCCATAAATCTCATTTTCTTCTTTTCTTTCTAAAAATTCAGACCTGTAATAAGAATTCAGCTCAGGTCTATCCACCTACACTTACATGCTGTGCCAAGATATCATACTATAGATATTTTTGCACTTACTCTATTAGGTAATTTTTGCCTGACATGAGTATTAATGAGAATGGGTATACTTGTTAGATATTGCAAGTAATTCAACTTTAGAAACATTTTCTATTACTTCTCTTTCAAGCTTCTTGCTTGGACTAAAGAATATTAAGATTGCAGGTGACCTACAAATCATTTTCTCCAACAAACACACATACACACACAAAAAAACAGATGAGACTGATATAAGAACATAACTATTTCCTCTAACACTAGACATTATTTTTTTCTCATTACATAATTTTACCCCTTTAAGCTTACAAAGCTTAAATATTGCTGCAATATTGCTTTTCTGTACTTGCATGTTAGGAATCCATGAAATTTTATTTGATTTTTTTCAAAAGTGTTGTACACATATATAACAGTTGCATACCATTGATTTGGTCCAGTTTTACCAGAGTCGAAAATGGGCAGAGATTAAGTAACTTGCACAAGATCACACAATTAATTAGAGGCACACAATTAACAGAAACTGACACTTACGTCAATGATCTTCCCATTGACCACGCTGGCTTTGTGTTGTCTAATTCCAGCCATGTTGATTCAGACTAAACTAGTCATCGAAATCTTCATTTTCTGAAGCAGTTTTCATCCTAAAAACTCATGAATGTTAAGTAGAGAATCAAATCCATTAAAAGATCTAACTACCATCAGTTGGTTCAGGTAAATAAAGAGTTTTATCTAATGAAAATGTTGGTAGAATACAGGAACTTGAAATTTGGCTAGTTATTGGGTTTCATAGCATAAATTATGGCAATTTAAATCAGTTTTTATTCTTACTTTATACGAGAAACTAACAAGAGAACTGGTAAAACTTTCGGATGTTTTTTCTCTACAGCCTGGGGTAATAATCCAGCTTGACTTCCATCCAATCCAAGAGGTGAATAATTCCAAATGAATAAGCTAATTCTTTTTTTGGAGGGGGAGCTTTTTGCTGGATTTTTTTTTTTTTTTTTGCATTTTAGGTTTTGGGGTACATATGAAGAACATGCAAGACTGTTGCATAGGTACACACATGGCAATGTGATGTGCTGCCTTCCTCCCCATCACCTATATCTGGCATTTCTCCCATGTCATCTCTCCCCAACTCACCATCTCCTGATGTCCCTTGCCTGTTTCCCCTCAAAAGACCCCAGTGTGTGATGCTCCCCTCCCTGTGTCCACGTGTTCTCACTGTGCAACACTCACCTATGAGTGAGAACATGCAGTGTTTGATTTTCTGTTCTTGTGTCAGTTTGCTGAGAATGATGGTTTCCAGGTTCATCCATGTCCCCACAAAGGACACGAACTCATCGTTTTTGATGGCTGCATAGTATTCCATGGTGTATATGTGCCACATTTTCCTTGTCCAGTCTATCACCGATGGGCATTTGGGTTGGTTCCAGGTCTTTGCTATTGTAAACAGTGCTGTAATGAACATTTGTGTGCATGTATCCTTATAGTAGAACGATTTATAATCCTTTGGATATATACCTAGTAATGGGATTGCTGGGTCAAATGGAATTTCTATTTCTAGGTCCTTGAGGAATTGCCACACTGTCTTCCACAATGGTTGAACTAATTTTCACTCCCACCAATGATGTAAAAGTGTTCCTATTTCTCCACATCCTCTCCAACATCTGTTGTCTCCAGATTTTTTAATGATCACCATTCTAACAGGCGTGAGATGGTATTTCAATGTAGTTTTGATTTGCATTTCTCTAATGACCAGTGATGCTGAGCATTTTTTCATGTTTGTTCCGCATTTATGTCTTCTTTTGTAAAGTGTCTGTTCATATCCTTCACCCACTTTTGAATGGGCTTGTTTTTTTCTTGCAAATCTGTTTTAGTTCTTTGTGGATTCTGGATATCAGCCCTTTGTCAGATGGGTAGACTGCAAAAATTTTTTTCCCATTCTGTTGGTTGCCGATTCACTCTAATGACTATTTCTTTTCCTGTGCAGAAGCTATGGAATTTCATTAGGCCCCATTTGTCTATTTTGGCTTTTGTTGCCAATGCTTTTGGTGTTTTGGTCATGAAGTCCTTGCCTACACCTATGTCCTGAATGTTTTTGCCTAGATTTTCTTCTTGGGTTTTTATGGTGTTAGGGCTTATGTTTAAGTCCTTAATCCATCTGGAGTTAATTTTAGTGTAAGGTGTCAGGAAGGGGTCCAGTTTCTACTTTCTGCACATGGATAGCCAGTTTTCCCAACACCATTTATTAAACAGGGAATCCTTTCTCCATTGCTTGTTTTTGTCAGGTTTGTCAAAGATCAGATGGTTGTATATGTGTGGCGTTGCCTCCAAGGCCTCTGTTCTGTTCCATTGGTCTATATCTCTGTTTTGGTACCAGTACCATGCTGTTTTGATTATTGTAGCCTTGTAGTATACTTTGAAGTCCGGTAGTGTGATGCCTCCAGCTTTGCTCTTTTTGCTTAGAATTGACTTGGCTATATGGGCTCTCTTTTGGTTCCATATGAAGTTGAAGGTGGTTTTTTCCAGTTCTGTGAAGAAGGTCATTGGTAGCTTGATGGGGATAGCATTGAATCTGTAAATCGCTTTGGGTAGTATGGCCATTTTCACGATATTGATTCTTCCTAACCATGAGCATGGAATGTTTCTCCATCTGTTTGTGTCCTCTCTTATTTAATTGAGCAGTGGTTTGTAGTTCTCCTTGAAGAGGTCCTTTATGTTCCTTGTTAGTTGTATTCCTAGGTATTTTATTCTCTTTGTAGCAATTGTGAATGGCAGTTTATTCTTGATTTGGCTCTTTTTAAGTCTATTATTGGTGTATAGGAATGCTTATGATTTTTGCACATTGATTTTGTATCCTGAGACTTTGCTGAAGTTGCTTATCGGTTTCAGGAGATTCTGGACTGAGACGATGGGGTCTTCTAAATATACAATCATGTCATCTGCAAATAGAAACAATTGGACTTCCTCCTTTCCTATTTGAATACCTTTTATTTCTTTTTCTTGCCTGATTGCTCTGGTTAGAACTTCCAATATTTTATTGAATAGGAGTGGTGAGAGAGGGCATCCTTGTCTAGTGCCAGATTTCAAACAGAATGCTTCCAGTTTTTGCCCATTCAGTATGACATTAGCTGTTGGTTTGTCATAAATAGCTTTGATTTTGAGATACAGTCCAACAATACCTAGTTTGTTGAGCGTTTTTAGCATAAAGGGCTGCTGAATTTTGTCAAAGGCCTTCTCTGCATCAATTGAGATAATCATGTGGTTTTTGTCTTTGGTTCTCTTTATGTGGTGAATTATGTTTATAAGATTTGCGTATGTTGAACCAGCCTTGCATCCCCCAGATGAAGCCTACTTGATCATGGTGGATAAGCTTTTTGATGTGCTGTTGCAGTTGGTTTGCCAGTATTTTATTGAAGATTTTTGCATCTATGTTCATTATGGATATTGGCCTGAAGTTTTCTTTTCTTGCTTAGTCTCTGTCGGGTTTTGGTAT